CGTAATGACGCCCGGTCCCTACATGGGGGCTGCAGGGGTATGGTAGAAATAATCCTCTGTAAAGGCTGGGTAACTTTGGCCCCTTTTTCCATATGCCTAACACCCATCAGATATGTTCCGGAATCCCCTCGATGCCAGCTTTCCAACGCCGCCTCCTACATCCTCCTGGCAACAGTCCCTGCGAAGCTATAGCCTGTTAAGCAACTAGTATTCATCTGTTAAAAGAATGCTCATGCGAAATCTATCTTGCTCATGTATACTAGTTATAAATTTATATAGAATAAGTGAAATTGAAATAGTTTTACTAAAAGAAACCTTGTGACCTAAGTCCTATATATGGGTCATACTGCTGGTATGCTAGTGTCAGGAGTTTTGAATTTTAGATACTCTCCTCAGATGTTATTATGATGTACTCGCATTAGACTAGACAGTCTTAGGATGCAACAGTTGAGGACCAGATGTCATCAAGATGTAACCATGAAGTGCCAGGCATTGTCAGGGCGCACCAGGCGTAGGGGTCCATGTCCAGATTCTGTTCAGATGCACCCGCTGCAAGCCTCAATGTCAGGATGCAATCTTACTTCAATGTCCCATCCTGGTTAACAGTTATCATTATGTGCACCCTGTGCATCAGATGCACAGGATGCACCTGGTGCTAGACATTATTTTTGCTGATGTTATGCTGGAGGTGTCATTTATCATTGCTAAAGTGTCAAGACACAACTCAGCCATAATACCGTGATAATGCCTGGTCCCTACATTGGGGCTGCAGGGGTATGGTAGAAATAATCCTGAGCTAAAGCCAAGTAAGTTCAGTCTTTTTTTTTCCCATATGCCTAACAGTGATAGAGGAACACAATTGAAATAAATTGAAGTTTCTGAACTATACAAGCAGATGTGAATATTTGTCAACAAAGTCCCAATCCTATACTGCCTTCCAACTACTGTATTGAAGAGTTGCTGTCCTTTATCATAGTCTAAGTATCCTGAGAGCCTGATGATATCTGCAAATCTCCACTCTACACATTCACAACAGGAAAATATACACTTATTAAATTCCTTTTCTGCAGCACTAAGTTTTAAATATGAAATAGGAGAGCATAAAACTTGATTGAAAGGATAAGGAGGATCATCATAAAGACAGAATGAGGAGGAATATTATTCTAATCTTTCAAGTAGTCCACTTTCTCAAAGTAACATATTATCATTTTGCCAGCCCTCAACAGGACCATAAAAATGATATATGAGACTATCTGGACACTTAACTGTGGAATATTTAACTGCATAATGCTTGTGATGCCCATTGTAAACTATCCATTGCCATAAGGTTGGCCAATATATACCTTATATAGTACGGTCTATAAAGCCCTAACAGTTGTCCAAGGTATGTCCTTTTTCTAATACAGCCTTTGCAAACAATTTTAACCTCTCATCTCCTAATAAACTAGATTTAAAACTATAAAGTAAAAAGCTCCAATGTTTGTCAATGAACTTCAACATCCAATTAAAACATTCTGAAAGTTGTGAGACACTCCAATCAAGCAATAAAGAAAGTGTTTCTAGGTGTGAAGGCCATGATAACTGGCAACATAAAATAAAGAAAGCCTCATGCAAGGTAAATGAATATCTTGATGGTGTTTGAATTTTTTTTTGGAAATCTTAACAAATCCGCAATCTTCCAGATATCACCTGATATGAACCATGCAAGATGAATAAAATCATCATTGGTCAGGGTTGATAAATCAACTTGATACTTCATCCAGGATTTTTTGGTCAATCTTGAAATTTTCAATAATGAATAGAAAGACCTCTTCATCAGATGCCTACTCAAGGTAAGAGATTGTCTCTTGAGTCAAGAGTTGCTTGTAGATGCTTGTTATTTTTGCACAATATGAAGATTTTACAGTATCTGATCTACGGTTTATATAGGCTGCTACCACTGTGGCACACTGTGGCAACGTGCTCCCTTTTCAGTTTGGCCCACCTCTAGCTTGTTGCCCAGAACTCAAATTTTGAGTTCGGATTTTCACTTCCGAGGGGTGGCCAAAACGCTCTAGTAACACCCCTCCCTCCACCATCATTCACCATCACAACCATCATCATCAACCAACTAACAAACCACCAAACCCCCGCACCAAAACAATGTCCGACCAACCCCCTCCCCCTTCCCCTCCAACCTCCCAAACCCCACCACCCCCCGCGCCCCCGGACGCCCCCAAAATCCCCTCCTCAACCTCAACCGACGACCTCCCAATCGCCCTCTCCGCCTCCCTAGTCCTAACCTCCCTCCCGCGCGACGGGAAACTCGCGCTGGACAAAGCCCTGCACCCGCGCCCCACGAAGGTCAACATCCGCTTCAAGCCCATCGGCTCCGCCCCCGCTCTCGATAAAGCCGTCTACAAGATCAAGACTAGTCAGCGGTTCGAGAATGTCGTCAAGTTCCTTAGGGATAGTTTGGGCTTGCGCGCTTCGGAGGGGATCTTCTTGTATGTCAATTCTACGTTTGCGCCCGGCGGGGACGAGAATGTGGGGAATTTGTGGAATGTGAGTTTTTTTTTTTGCTCTCCTGATTTTTTATTTTATTTATGAGGAGGGTTGATAAGGATGGGTAGTGTTTTAGGGTTGATGATCAGTTGATTGTTTCGTATGCTATGAATGCGGCTTTTGGGTGATTGGTGTGGTATATATATATATATATATATATATATATATGATGGGGTTGTGGTGGGAGGGAAATGGGATGGAATGGGATGTGCGTTATTAGTATTCTCGTGGGATTTTCTTTTATATATCTTTTTTTGTTTGTTTGTTTGTTTGTTTGTTTCTGCTGGGTTGGCTTGGACGGCGTTGGCTGATGATAGATATGGTTTTCCCTCTCTTTTTAGGATGCATTGTAGTAATCAAATACGGTAGACTAACCTAACCTAATTATACCATACAGTACAAAAACACCCCCCCTCTCCCATGAGTCCTCATCCCATACCGTATCCAGCCAACTTCACTACCGTACTCGCGCGGCCGGATTGAAGCCGGACACCTGCATATAGTATTGATCGGCAAGCCAATAAATAGGTGGGATCGGGCACCCACCAAGACATATTATTAATCCTCAAGTACAGTATATAGAGATTCGAAACATGGGTAACAGCACACTATGACCATCGCATACCCATGTATCTATCATTTCCTATCCATTAAAATTATTATTTCCACCATGTATGATAATCCTCTGAAGCTTCTCATGAAATGATTGACACTTATTGTCGATAACCGCTTGAGGAAGATCCTCCCAGGTCTGTACCAAAACTGCCTTCGCTCCATCAACCACTGCCTTACCAGCCCCCACAAACTGCCATGTTGAAATCTCATCTTTCTCATAGTCCCAGATCCCCTCGATTTGATTAATATCTGGTGACTTCGATGGCCAATCCAAGGTGACAATACCTTTCTCCTTCCTCTCCTCCTTATCAACAGATCTGGCTGTTTGATGGCTTGGTGCGTTGTCCTCAACAAGGTAAAGGTGTGGAATGTTCATCGTTCTTCGTAAAGAATCCATCCAAGGGTAGAGCTTTGGCTGGAGGACAAGCTCACGATATGAAACCCAGTGAATCCCACCTCGACTTGTAAATTTTAACTCCTTCTCCTTAAAAAATTGATCAGCCCTCCTTCGTCGCCTCTTGTGTCTTCCAGTTCGCCCTTCATCTTCATTAAGATGATCGATATTATCATTGAAGTTACTGAGTCCTTTCTGCTGCCAGCTTCTAAAAATATTCGCTTGCTGCCTATTGAACTCCTGCTTTTCTTGCTGTACATGATTTTCATCGTTTAGAATATGCTGAAAGCGACTCTTTTCCTCCTCATTATCTTGCTCCCAAATATGACATGGTCCCCTAGAGCCTAGGATAATAGCCCCCCAAAACATGACTCGAATTGGTTGTTTTTCACTATCATGGTCGTGAAGTGCATACTCATTCGCATCGATACCACAGTATCGTGAGATATTGCATTGTCGCCTAGGTGAATTGAATTCCACCCACATCTCATCGGTGAAGACTACTGTATTTATGGCAATTTGTAAAGCCATATGAGCAAAAGCTAATCTACCCTCCATTTGCTCTGGTGACAGACTTGGTTTGTGGGCGGGCTTTCGGCGAAAGATTTGATGTTGGCTATGAAACACCTGCTCTAGCGTCAACCAAGTAGCCGTAATGTTGAGCTCTTTTGCAATCTCTGGAAATGGCATTTGCCAATGCTCCTCGTCCTTCTGGCTAAGATCACGGAGAGCTATTGATTCATCACATCCTGCTGGGAACATCTGTGGTTTACCACCCCCGTGATTGCTTTCAATGCAACTCAAAACATCATCAAAATCAACAGGATTTGAGGCACAAGCCTACTGGGTACTATGATAAGCAATCTAATCTAATCATTATACTATTATATTTAGAGACTGAATTATACCTTTGCTTTCTGGATGATATCTTCAACAGTGGACTTTTTGAGCTCCAATTTGAATGCAATCTCTCGGTATGACATATTAGCATGCCACTGGAGTGCTAGAATTGCTGCTCTCTTAAGGAGAGGAACTTTAGGTGCTGTTCCTGCTCCTCCAGTATGCGATTCTGGCATCCTCTTGCTTATCGGAGTGGATCTTGGGTGTAGGATATAGATAAATATAGAGGAATATATGGACTGGTCGGAGTTGGTTGCACAAGCGATGAATTATGGGAAACCGAATTTTTCCAGTATATCCAGTTACATCACTCTGCTTGGCATTTGTGAAACTACATGTTTATTGGCTTGCAGATCACTACTATATGAGGGTGTCCGGCTTCAATCCGGCCGCGCAAGTACCGTACCTCAGTCTTCAAGAATAAATTAGCAGCTTTCAAAAACATGCGCCCCGCCATACCCCCAATCACAACCGCCATTCATCCAAACCCACCATCGCCACCACTCCCACAAACCTTCACAATTCTTGTAGGGCTTCAATCCCAATAGCCTGAATGGTCTAGTGGTATGATTCCTGCTTTGGGCAATCCGAAAATGCAGGAGGTCTCCGGTTCAATCCCGGATTCAGGCCTGTCTATCTTATTTTATTTTTTTCCCTCCCCCCCTCCTTCCAACAAATACTCCTCCTCCCTTCTTTTTTTTTTTCTTTTTTCTTCTCCCCAAATCCCCGCCCGATATATTCCGCCAGCCACACCCACCCAGTTCATCCCGGAAGCAAGCGAATTTGCGGGGAAACGAACCACTGACTGGCTGACCGGGTACCGTAGAATCCCTTGAAATCCACCACGTTACCTCCGCAGGCCCCGTAATCTCCTGGTTCAGCTCCGGAGAAAGTTTAGCGTTTTCCCGAAACGGCACAGGATCATCTCGAAGGGTACCGTATTCGCAATCCTGTAAACCTATCGTGGGCTGACGGGGCTGATATGATTGTGGATTTTACTCGTACGGTAGGTATTGTACATGACAAACAAGTCCAGCGCCGAAATATCCCGACGACGCACACGAAAACACCCGAAGAACCGCTGTCGACATTAGACACAGTACGGTACAAGTACCTACTCGGTAAACGACGGACGCGGAAAATAAATAAAATAAAAATCTTATATCACTTTTTTTTTTCTTCACTTTCTCCGGGAAAATGATGTATAAAAAGTCTAGAACGCTGTACAGTTTTTCTTCACGATAACTCCCCGGGAGTATATACATACCGGTAGCTTGGTGTATGATATATAATACACAGCCCGCAATACAATATCGTGAATAGAGACTTTCGGCAGATCCCTGTTTTTTTCAATTTGAATTCGAGTTTGAAAAAAAAAATGATAGGCACGAACTAGCATGGCTTTCAAAACCTTGCCAAGTATGATATACTTCTTGACGATAAATTGAGTTGGTGTAGAACTAATTGTGACGTCCTCACATTGTAATACTAACTTGTATTGTATATTTTGTGAACGAAAAAGAGGTATCATACCAGTAGAGATTTCTTCACACCCCCCCCCCCAGTTCCGATAACTTTGCCAGATCTTACTTGTAAGAAAGAGCCCGGTATCCCAACAACCCTAATTCACCAAGTGCACGCACGGCGGAAACAATAGCCAAACAGCAGGATAGCGAGGATTGAAAAAACCCATGTTACTGGCGTACAAGTGCGGCCGATAGATATATATATATTATCCGTCCACGCGAAATCTGCAAAAGTAAAAAATCTGCAAAAGTAAAAAAGCAGCACGTTTGCAACGGAGGATGTATCGGTGATGCCCCTCCATCCGGGCATTATTTTCCAACCCGGCCTCTGATGGTTGCAACATGCTGCTTTTGCTTATCTGATTTCACGTGACGGATATATATATCTATCGGCCCCGCTAGTACTACATAACATACATACATACATACATGTATCTTTGATAATATTGAACTATGGTAATCTATTTATCGTCTAGCTGTACTTGGCAATGTTTGTAACCCTGCTATCATAGCCAGTCATGCCTATCATTTTTTTCAAACTCGAATTCAAATTGAAAAAAAAACAGGGATCTGCCGAAAAGGTCTCTAATGAAGGAAGGATGGGAAGGAAGGAAGAAGAAAAAAAAATAACGCAAATGCCTTTCATCCCTGCGGCGACGACAAAAGATGGAAGATGGACGTCGTCGTCTGCTGTGTCGGGTGATTATCAGTTGTGCGCATAAAAGTACCGGTATACCGAAAGAACTTGCTACGGTGGGTACGGTAGTCCAAAATTTGCTCCTCTGGAAAAGGGGGGGGGGGAAACACATAGGTAACTTTGGTAGGAGAGGCAACAACTCCAACGTCCTATACCGGTATCATAGTAACAAGGTCCGTTTAGACTATTCGAGTTCTTACGGTAGGGTAGGGTAGATAGAGTACCGCGAGATGCGACGAAAAAAGCAAGTCAGGAAAACAATGGATTGTTTTTTTTTTCTTTCTTTCAAATTCTATCATTTGATAAAAAAAAAAGATTACCGTATCGGGTGCAGTGGTGGGGAGTTTTACTCGTACTCGCGCGTCTTTGCCAAGAATAACCTCCGCTAGCCGATGAGCTGGGGGCGGCTTTCGGGGTATGGTTCCGGAAGACTAAACTCCATACCAACTTTCACACGAAAAGTGTGACAATTTTGGCTGCGACGGCAACTGTAACACTTTTTTTTTTTTTCTTCCTAAAATAGTCATTACCCTACCTTTGAGGCTCAAATTTTGAAATTTCAAGTTATAACAAAAAGGATTTTACCGCAGATTAGAAATGATAATAAAGAAGGGAAAATTACAGGAGCTTGAACTGGTGGGGGATAATGAATATTGTTTATGCAAGGCCCCACTAGTTGGACTACACATGTAGGGTTGAGGGGGAGTGTTGACAGATATCTCTTACGGTTAATAAAAATTTAGTTTGCACTAGTGTCATATTTAAGCCTCAATGGTAGGGTAATGACTATTTTAGGAAGAAAGGAAAAAAAAAGTGTTACGGTTGCCGTCACAGCCAAAATTGTCACACTTTTCGTGTGAAAGTTGGTATGGAGTTTAGTCTTCCGGAACCATAGCTAAAAAGGTCGTTTTCTGACGACCACTTGGCGATTGTGAGGCAACAACGCATAAAGACTCACCAGCTCACCAGTTTATGGACTTTTTCCGGTCTGGCCAGCAAAACTCACCCGATATCAATAAAATCGAGACCTCTTTGGCATGTGTGCTCAAAGGCCATTATAGCTAAATACCAAAGGGTCGAGAGGGCAAGGACGGAAAGGGATTGAGGATACCGGTATTGTATCATAGCTGCAAAAGTAAAATAAGGCTGCGTCTGGTTGCCACACGGAACTGTCAAAATCAATCACCTTTATTTTGTCAACTTTGTGAGAACTTGTCAATTGGCTTTGGGGAGCCGCGTCTGGTTGACCACTAATTTTCAAAATCGATTAGGATAAAATGTGTCCAAGATTGCCAAAATCAAAATACTGGTTGTATGATAATTTACTTGTACAGTATCATTTTAGCAATTCTCAATTCTGGCAACATCCGGTTGCAACTCGCGTTTTGTGATTTTCACATAATCGCACCCCTCAGGTCCACCAGACGGGGCCTAAAATAATAAATTTCTCAGACGCAGAGCCCTTAATTCAACTTCCTTGTAAAACATGATAACCTCCCTCTTGAATTGAATATACTGTACAACAGCAGTGAATTTTTCGAAACGCCTATTTGACCCAGGAAGAAAATGCGAAAAAGGAATAAATAAAGAAAAAAACAAAAAACGGAAATCTGCACGCTCTTTCGTCCTCCATTATAGCAAAAAAAAAAAAAAATACAAGCTAGTGAAATCCATGCATCTATGTTCCACAACTGCCTCCAGTTGTTGAACCCAGTCAATCTTTTAGAATAAGCCAATCTAGCGGTTCATACGACAGGAGCTGCCTCCTTAACATCTTGAGTTGCTTCGTCCTCGTACTTGGCAAAGTTCTCTCTAAAGAGTTGGCCAAGCTTTTTAACCTCAGCTTGGAACTCGGCGGCATTGCCAGACCCTATGGAATATTGTGAGCTAATGTGCAAGCAGAAATACGTGTCAGAGTTAGGTGGAACTTACAGCTCTTGCTTGGGTTCAAGAATTGATCTGGAACACCAGGGGCGGTCTTAGGGACCTGGAGATTGAAGGTCTCGTAGGTCTCATACTCTTGCTGCGCAAGCTCACCAGAGTGGATGGCGTCCAAGATGGCACGAGTGTACTTGAGGGGGCAACGTCTACCACCCTTGGTAGCGCTGGCACCAACCCAACCAGTGTTCAAGAGCCAGACATTGGCCTTATGCTCGGTGATCTTGTCGGACAACATCCTAGCATATCTCATGGGGTGCAGGGCAAGGAAGGGCTGGCCAAAGCAAGCAGAGAAAGTGGCCTGTGGTTCTGTGATACCGTCCTCAGTACCGGCCATCTTTGAGGTGTATCCGGAAATAAAGTGGTACATGGTCTGGAACTACAGTTAGCGAAAATTCCTTAAAGTAAAAGAATATCATGGTGCATACCTGGGCATTGTTCAGCTTGCTAATTGGCGGGAGCACGGCTCTCGCGTCGCAAGTAAGAAGGATGATGTTGGATGGGTGAGAGTCAGCAATGCAAGGAATCTTGGCATTCTGGATGTACTCGATAGGGTAGCAAGCTCTGGTGTTCTCAGTCAAGGTGCAATCATCGTAGTCGACCTCTCTGGTTTCTGGGTTGAAAACGACGTTCTCGAGAACCGAGCCGAACCGAATAGAGCCGAAAATTTCCGGTTCCTTCTCAGCCGACAGACCAATGCACTTGGCATAGCAGCCACCCTCAATGTTGAAAACACCTGTATCCGACCAGCAGTGCTCATCATCACCAATCAACGCTCGGCTAGGGTCGGCAGACAAGGTAGTCTTTCCTGTTCCAGAAAGACCGAAGAAGAGAGTGACATCCCCTTCTTTACCCTCATTCGCGGAGGAATGGAGGGTGAGGACATTGTGCTTTACGGGCATTTCGTAAAACAAGATGGTGAAAACACCTTTCTTCATCTCACCGGCATACTCGGTACCGAGGATAACCATCTCCTTCTCAGCGAAGTTAATTGCAACGGAGGTTGAGGATGTCATTCCAACAGTAAATCTGTTTGCAGGGACTAACCAGATGTTAGCAAGCATCCATTCCAAACCAGAAAAGCAAGAGTTTCTTACAAGATCCAGCATTGTAAATGACATAATCGGGCTCAAAGTGGACTAGCTCTTCAGGTTTGGGCCTGATGAGCATGTTTCTCATGAACAGAGCGTGGTATGCACGAGCGCAAACAACACGGACTTTGATTCTGTAACGTTCGTCCCATCCGGCATAACCATCAACGACGTAAATTCTGTTCCTGGTATTCAGGTAATCGACAGCACGCTCACGATTGATTCTCCAGACCTAAAACGTCATGATCACGTGATTAGTCTGGCAAGTCTCCTGCTAAAAATCCTGAAATCGGGGGAGAAAATGCGGGGATCGCTTACATCGGGGTCCATTGGCTTGTTCACGGGACCCCACCAGATCTCGTTTTCTGATGTGGGCTC